AGGTGGTAAAAATATTCTAAAATTTACTGTGGTGATGGCTACATTGTATAGCTGTGCCTAAACTATGTATTTTGGTATACCTGTGAATGTACAAAAACCATTGAATTGTAAATGTATTGATGATATATTGATTATATCTCAATAAAGCTATCATTGAGAAACAGGAAAAACAAAATAAAACATACAGGGTTCTGGGCGGTAAGTCCACTGTCCACATCAGTTGAGGCTCTGCTCTTTCAAAGCCTGCATCCTCCAACTCTAGATTTCCTCCAGTCTCCACGGAGGCTAAGGCTTCCTGCGAGGGTGCCTCTCAATCCAAAAGCACCTCCCCAGCTGCTGTGCTGGGGGATGGAAACCTTGAAACTCTGGCCCAGGGAGTACTTATTTATCTGTGTTTAAGGGGGAGCCTGGTTCTCAGTGTGAAGGAAGAGTGAAGAGAAGAGATTTTTGCCTTGGCACAGCCCCAAGATCCAGCACCCAGGTTTGAATCCACTGTTTGATCTTGGTCTCCGTTTCCTTCTCTTCAAAATGGAGCATCCGAGTCACCAAGCTACGAGTTGTGACTATTTCATGAAAGTATGAATCTAGCACACCTTCAGAAGTTTAGCCGCATGTCCCCTGCTAGAAAACAAATGAAGGTGCAATCATCTTAGGGGATGATCCATATAAAATCAGGATGCAGTAGTAGGAGTGAAGGGATTTTTTAGGAAAGAAGTTTTTTGTTTTGATTTTAGAAGATTCTCTCAAGTCTCTTGTGTCTTTTCATTGATTTTAACTCCGAGAGCATGTCAGGATCCTAATTTCCAAAGACAGACAAGAAGAAGAGGCAGGGGAGGAGTGAAGAGAAGAGGGAAAATAAGGGCTCTGGAGAGGGGGACCAGGTGGGAGGGAGGATGAAGAGGGGATGGAGGGAGATTGCTGTGGTCCAGAGGCTGGCCTGGTGGGGAGGAGAGCAGTGCAAGGAGCGATGACCCAGAGAGGGAAGAACGCTGGAGAACCTGAAGGAGAAAAGAAGCAAATGGAGAAGGAAAAGGCTGCAAAACCTTCAGGTTGGGGGCAGGGAGCAAGAAAGAGTCACAGAGAAATATCTGGGGAAGAGATGCAGGAAGTCAAGTAACCATTCTTGGTGGAATCTGTCCGGAAGAAAGCAGATGGGAAGAGAAGACCCCCAAATCCAGTTTCCTATCCTAGAACCTCGAGGCACCCATCCAGTCCTACCAGGTCCCCTCCCTCACCCCTGGGTGGCCTTACCCAAGAGAACCCTGAGTCTTACCGGTGGGGGAGTTTTCAGATCAAGTTGGACACTTCAGGTTGGGTCCAGCTGTCCCCTGTCCAGGCCTGTTCACCCTCTCTGATCCCCTCCACAAAACTGCCCCCAGCACTGCTAACTCCCCTCCCCCACTTCACCAGAGGTCTTGGCAGAAACAACCATTTCTTACTCCCTGACCTGCTACTAGGGCTTCCCCATTGGCTCAGATGGGGAAGAATCCGCCTGCAATGCGGGAGACCTGGGTTGATCACTGGGTCAGGAAGATCCCCTGGAGGAGGACATGGCAACCCACTCCAGTATTCTTGCCTGGAGAATCCCATGGACAGAAGAGCCTTTGCGACATGGGCTCAGACATGACTGAGCAACTAAGCATGGCACAGATCTGCAATAGAAAGACCAACCCAGACCTTTCCTCCTGCCTTTCTCTCAGCCGGCAGGCAACACCTGCTTCCCCCACTCTTGGCCCTGTTCAGTGGTTTACAAGAATGCTTCACCTGGAAAACTTTCAAATATAGGGAGCCCTCAGGGAACCAGATTTTAAGCCATTTGGTCCGTGGCCAAGCACAAGTTTGCCTAAGTTTTCCAGGTAATTTAATACAGGACAGGTGTTGAGAACTCCTCTGCCTCCTCCCCTAAGCCTTCTTGGCCCTGGGCCAAGGCCTTCTTCAAGGCAGGAGCTCCCTGCTGGCACCGAACTGCCCTTCATGGTAGGTATCTGATGAGGGTCACTCCAGGGGGCCCTGCTTACATTCTGGCCAAACACACAGCTCTCCTTGAGCAGCTTCCCCAAACAGAACTCTGGACTCACAGGCTCGGGATGGGCATCAGTGAGATATACCAGGACTGGGGTGGGTGGAAGATCCTGATGGCTCTGGAGCTCAGCAGCCTGGCTGGAGTCCCTGCCCAAGCAGAGGAGAGGACAGAGAGGAGTAGGACAGTGCTATCTTGAGGTAGGGGAGGGTCCAGGCTGTGCCTAGGAGGTGCTCTCAGGAGTGCAGACCATACCCCAGGACTCCAAACTGGATGAGGCAGGGGTAGGGAAAAGGATTCAGCAGCCACCCAAGTGGCCTGGAACTGGCATCAACCTGGTGCCAGGAAGAAAAATGCCAGTTGTCTGGACAGGTGCCCCCAGAAGGTGGTGCAGCAGTTGGAATCTCCCCCACCTCACCTGTACTTCACCCCAGCCCAGCCCACTGGGGTCCCTCTTCTCCATACCAGGTGACCTCCACCCCTATGAAGGGCATCTCTAGCACAGGTCCTGCTCCCTGCACAATTCTCAGAGTGCATCTAGCACAGACAAGCCTCAGTCATCTTGCGTTGCCTGGAATAAGCCAATGACACTGCAGTGACTGATCCTGTGGGTGGTTACAGATCTAGGAGGGGCCTAAGCACTGGAACATTAAGAGCCTCACTTTGCCCCCAGCAACTGTCCCAGCATCCTATCATTAGAACTGCCCTCCTTGGGTTTCAGCACTGCTGATCTCCTCAGAAAAGATATACTTGATTGTGTTACAAAAATAATAATCTCATTATTAGAAAAAAAATAAACAAGAACATCCCCTCTCTCTCATTTTAAAATGTCAATTCCTTTCTACCTGAGGGTGGACAGTGGCTCCCTCCTTCATGTGCAGGTGCAGAGGTCTGGCTCCCAGGTATGTAGGGTGGGGTACAGGTGGGTTCAGGGAAGGAAGCGAGGAATGGGTTTTTTCTACAAGCTAGGTCTTGTGCTCCCCAGCTGAATGTGCAAGCAAAATGCTCCTCCCTGTTCACCTCAGATCACCAGTGCCCTTCAGCTATAGGGGAACCCCTGTTCCAGCAGTGATGGCTGAGTAGATTCAATCACCTGGGTGACTGGATTCCCTAGGGGGCAGAGCAAGTGCTGCCCAGGATCTCCCACAGACCTTTGGGTAGGGCCCCAAACCAGGAGGTAGGTGGAAAGGAGATCCAGACAGGGCAGAGGAAGCCAGACCCCTTGAGCCTATAGGCACTGGGGAATGTGCTGGAGGGATGCACAGGCTGAGGGAGGGAAGTGGCTTGGTAGAGGTGGGAAAGAAAGCCAGCTGGAGAAGGCACCTGAATTGGCTGCAAGCTCAACGAGGCTCTCCAGCAGTCCTGGGGGAGTGGCCTGACCCCAGCCTCAGCAAGGGCAAGGCCATAGGGAGTGGGATGAGCTGGGACCAGAGGTTCAGGCCTGGAGAACTGGCCTGTACAGCTGCCAAAGCACCCAAGGGATATGAAAGATGGAGGAACAACCAGAGTCAGGACCAAACCTGTGAGGTTGCAGGCTCTGAGCACCAGAAGAGGATGTTGAATGCTCCTGCCAGAGTCCAGAGCTGCAGGCCAACTGGCATTGGAGGACCAGGGGCCTGGGCAGATAGGTATAAGTAGCTCCTGGGGGAACCCAGGCTCTGACTACCACCCACCTACATACACACCTTGTCTCCCCTAGAACCCCACTTCTGATCTAGAAGGCCTTGATGCTGAGTGTGGGTGCATGATTGTACATAGTCACTCAGTGGTGTCCGACTCTTTGAGACCCCTTGGACTATAGTCTACCCGGTTCCTCCAGCCATGGATTTTTCAGGCAAGAATACTGAAGTGAGTTGCCATTTTCCTTCTCCAGGGATCTTCCTGACCAGGAATCAAATCTGCATCTCCTGTGTCTCCTGCATCGCAAGTGGGTTCTTTAGCTGCTGGTGGGAAAGAACCACTATTTATCCACAGGTGACTGGGCCCCAGCTCTCTCAACACAGAGGCTCCAGAAGTCAGTCTCACCCACTGAGACACCAAAAGGCGAGAAGAAGGTGGATGGGGAGGGACTGAAATGTTTCTGGAGAAAGAGTACAACAGACTCACTCCCTGACATGGAGTGAGGCGTGGGAAGGAATTGGAAACTTATGGTACTGAGCCAGGCAAGGGGGTTCTTTTCCCAACTCAGGGGGTTCCTTGAAGAAATTCTCTGGAAACCTAGTCCTATGGGGTATCTGAGGGGAGCTGGGGTTGGTGGCCCCTTCCTGAGGATCCTCTCCACACTTCATCTGTGAGTGGAGAACCTGAACTACCAAGTTTCCCAGGAACTCCTAGTGGCAAGGTGTCACCTGTCTCCAGTCCAGGACTCAGCAGTTTGTGCCCAGACCTGCACATCCCCCAACACCCAAGGTCACTAATCCCCAGACCTGCTGAGGCCAAAGGGAGACTGACTGTGAATTGAGCTGGGCCTTGAGTTGCGGGGGCCTTTTAGATCCCAGGAAGGGCTGGATCAGTACCTAGGGTTTGTCTGTGTTCAGCCATGGCAGAGCGAGAGCTCCTGAAAAAGCAGTTTAGGTCATCGCCCTGCCCTCTATCTTCTGAGCTCATCCCACACCTCCCAAGTTAAGGTTCTCTGATCACTTTACAAAAAGGGTGAGGGTTGGGGCAAAAGAGAGGCAGAGGAAATTCTCAGGGTTCCTAGTGTCTTGGCCAGGACGAAATGTTCAGAGGGTGGCTGGAAACTAGCGGTGAAGGTGAAGGCAGCAGGCGCAGGACAATGGCCCCCCCGACCCCCACTGTCAAGTGAGGAATCCGGGATCCTTGAAAATTTCCACAAGGCAGACTCAGAACTTCTGGAGCTCTGCGTCCCACTTAGCCTGCAGAAGGGTCCCGGCAGAGCCAGCGTTTCAACCTGCCTGCAGGCGTGCGCATGTGTACACACAGACACACATATACACACACGCAGCAAGGCCGATCTTACTGTATAGGATCCAACTGCGAGGTCCACACCTCCCGCGCGGAGCACTGGCGCTCCCAGCCTTCCTCCGCTGGGATTCCAGGCAGGCAGACCAGCAGGGCATGGGAAGGCGCCCCGTGGACCCGCAGGACTCGCTTCCTGGGCGGGCAGCTGGAGCTAGGGTGCTAGGCGGCCCCCGGTTCAAGGGCCTGAGTTTAGGGGCCGCCCAGGCTCCCGGCCCGGCTCGGCCAAGGTCTCTGCTGGTCTGAGAGGAGGTTGGTGAGGAGATCCAGCCCACCCCCACCCCACATCCACACCCACACCCCCACACACACACAACACAAACTGTGCCTCAGCGCTCAAAAGCGCTACTTTCCTCACTGGATCCCTGCGCACACAATCACGGAGGCCGAGACCCGACTTCCAAGGCTTGCAGTGTAGCGAGGGCCGGGACTCCTGCGGGATGCCAAACCTCAGACTGCCAAGAGGGAAGGAGAAGAAAGAAGAAAGAGCGGGAGCGGAAGACTGCGAACTCCCAAGAGTTCGACTGGAGCTGGCCTGTAGCCCCCTCCCATGCTCCTTGCCGGGCTCTCGCCGCAGACAGGAAAGGGGAGGCGGCCCGACTCTCATGGACACTGGATCACGGGAAGCCACCGGCATCTCCGGGAGAAGGACTCGGCTGCCTCGGGAGTGAACGCACTCCCGAAAGCCCATCTACGGCCTTTGAAGAGGACGCCGGAACGGAGACCCGAATAACTGGCACAGAAAGCCACCATTCATGAAATACAATTTAGCGGAGTGAAAACAAACAAAACCCGGTATGGTTCAGCAGGTGGCTGGCCCATTTTTCTTAGAACAGAAACCCGGGCCTCCTCCCATGAGGCCCCAGGGAACAGAGGGGATTTGGGGGCCGGGAAGATTCCCACCGAATGTTTGCTTTCTGCTTAGAATTTTTCTACACCGGGCACGTCTTGAATAATAATAAACTTGAGAGAATCACGGAGGAGAAAGACTGACGTGCAGAGCGAAGATGACGGACTGGATCAAGCGACCAGCGTGATCCGGGGCTGGGGAGGGAGGCGCCCTGGCCCATCGTGGGGAGGTGAGTTTGGCATCTCCTCTAGACGCCAGGCTCCAGGGGACCAAATGCAAGTGCAGGGCTCCTGGTACCACGCGGCGTGCGTCCTTCCAGCGGGGTTGGTGCGGCTGGGTTACACTCCCCAGAGCCCTTCTGTAACTCTAATCCTCCTTTCTCCCTCTCTGAGAGTATGGGCACCACAAATTCTCGGCCTGGCAGCGGGTGCGTGCTGCTCTCGCTCTGCACACCCTGCCCTACACCCTGGGCTCCAGCCGCGCTCCCCTCCCCCACCCAAATTACCTTGTAGCAAAGTTTCCTTCCTTCCTTCCTTCCATCCGTCCCTCCTTTCTAAGGACCAGCAGGCCTTTGCCCCTGCCCGCCCCCTTTACCCTTCTTTTTTCCTGTCCCAAACCCTGCCGGGAAGCGCCATTAGTCACCCAATTAAATAATTGGTGCGCCCCGCCCACGTCGCTTTCCGTTGGGGACTTTCGAGATTGGACACAGACACACACTCAACCGCTCACATGCACACTTGACATCCATTAAGGCTCACACGCTCACTCATTCATTCACCCGCTCCTCCGGCTCTGGGAGTCTTGCAGGATGCGCGAGCAACGCACTCGGCCGCCCCACTGCCACTGGCCCCCTGCACATCCACGGGCGCGGCCCCCAGACGCTCTTGATCGGACCCCCGGACACAGCGACGCACCCTCGCTCACAGCAGCACGCGGCGCACAAAAGGGAAGCGGCTGCTGTTCTAGCATTTTAGGGGAGGGGTCAGGGCCCTCCCCCGCACGCGCACACACGTTTGCACACACATCTTCGCTGCGGTCTCTCAATCTTTCTTCCAAGCCCCTTTCTGAGTCAAAGGAAGGGAAATCCGGCCTGGCCTCTCCTGGCACTGTCAAAAGAGAAGATGGACTCAGGAGAACCCTGGGAACCTCACAAAGCGCTTGGGACTCGGAGGGTCCAGGGACCCCACTGCTCGGCCTGAAGGCCAGCTCGGCTTTCAGCCGCGCTCACCTCCGCTTTTCCCCCTCTCCCCGGCCTAGCGAGGCGGGCCGGGACTCGGAACTGAGGAGGGGAGACCTCCGCGGGTCCGAGAGTGGGGGAATGGAGGGGCCAGGGAGATTTTTCATCTTTGTCCCAGTCTAGGGGTGCGATCCCGCTTCTGAAGGCCTCTGAGCCGCAGGGTCCCGGGTCTTTGCAGCCTACAACAGTCTCAGCCTCACTCGACCCTCCCGGCTACTAAACCCGGCTATGGGTCTGCAACCAGTCTTTTCTCCCCGGCGAGTGCAGACCGTCCCCTCGTCCCCTTGCCTCGCCGTCTCGGGTTCTTTTACCACACTCTTGGCCTTGCTCCGCCAGGAGCGCCGGGAGGGGGCTATGTTCCTGAGTGTGGGTGGAGGTATGAATCTGGGGGGTGGGGCCACTGAATCCCAGGCCTGAGCCCCCAGCCCCAGCCCCCTACCCCGCCAAGTACTCGAGCAAGGCCAACCTCCTGTTTTCTGCTCGGTCTCGCCGGGGTCGCCTTCCTGGAACACTTTGGTTATTGATTCCGCTGAAAGAGCCGGAGTGCGGAGACTGCGCTTCCCTGGGGACGAAGAGAGTGGGGAGGGGAGCAGGCTGGTGGTTGGGGGAGGGAGTTGATAAACTTTAGGAGGGATGCAGGGCGTTCCTCGGTACCCCAGGGCCTCCTAGGCCTCCCTCTGCCGGGCTCCGAGTGCGGCTAGATTAGGGGTGGAAGAGGAGGGCCGACGACCCCCCCACCCCCAGCGCAGCTCCGTAGCGCCGCTGGGAGTCGGAGAACCCCGACTCGGGCCCAATCAGCAGAGAGGGGTGGGGCGGCCGGGCGGGGGCGGGGCCAGAGAGGGAGGAGTCGGGCGGGGGGCAAGCGGGGCGCCGGGGGCGCGAGGGGCGGGGAGGCGCGGGCTTGGCCGGCCCAGGCTGGCCAGGCGGTGGCGAAGGCGGCGGTGGCGGCCGGCATGGGCGATGGGGGCGCTGAGCGCGACCGCGGCCCCGCACGCCAGGAGTCGCGGAGCGGGCGCGGCGGGGACGGTGGCGGAGCAGAAGACTCGACCGCTGATGCGGGCGGCCGCAGCCCCAGGGAGATTGCCGGGACCTCCGACTCCAGCCCTGCGGGCTCCAGGGAGAGCGGCGCCGACAGCGACGGGCAGCCGGGGCTCGGCGAGGCAGACCACTGCCGCCGCATCCTGGTGCGAGGTAAGGGGACGGCTCGAAGCTCTGGCCCACTGAACTCCCCTCCCTTGCCTCTCCGGGGCCTCCGACCTTCCTGCAGCCTCCACCTCCCAAGTCCTATATTCATTCAGACGGTCGTCGTCCAGTCATTCATTCAGCAAACATTATTTTGAGCGTCCATTGTGTGCTGGACATTGAGCTGAGTGCAGGGGACAAAGCGGCGAGCGGTACGGGAGAGATTCCCGTTTCACTGCCCTGAGATGCTCAGCTCTCCAGTCTCACCCGGGCGGGTTACCGTGGCGGGGGCCGAGATGAGAGTGCGGGATGCGGAGAGCCGAGTCCCCGCCCCGCGGCCCTCGCGGCGGGTGCGGAGAAAAGCGTCACGAGCGCTCCGCGGGGTCAGGGCGAGGAGGGACCAGCGCCCGGAACCGCGGGAGGAGAAGGCCCGGGCTCCGCTCAGCTGCCGGGCGCCTCCCCGCTCCCTGCCCAAGCCCCGCTTCCCGGTCCCGGCCTCGCAGGCGCACGGGCTGCTCCCGGGAGACGGCACCGGAACGCAGAGGGCGGCGTGCGCCGCGCTCGCCGACCGGGGCTTCGCTCTCGCGGTTCCCACTTCCTCGCGGCGCCTGGGCCCAGCCGGCTCTCGGCGCGGCCTTCTCACGGCCTGGCTTCTCGCGTCTCTCCGATTCTCCCTCGCCCTTCGCCCTCCTCTCTTCTTTCCCGGCCATTTCCCTTCGCCGAGCTTGCCTTCCCCGCCTTCCCTTCCTGCAAGAGTCCGAGTGCCCGGCTCTGCCTGGCTTCCTCGCTGAGAGGCTGCAGCTTCCCCGGCCCCCAAAGCCAGCCTCACGCCCAGCTCTAGGCTCGCCTTTCGCCGGATCCGGGCCTCGCCCAGCAAGATAGGAGAAGAAAGGGGATTCCGAGGTCTTGCCTTAAGCCCGTCCCTAGGCCGCGGCGAAGCCCGAGGTCTGTTTCCCCCACCATCCCAGAGTCCCGGACTGGGAGACCCAGCGGAAAGAGGCCACTCGAGGGGAGCGGCTGCCCCCGGTTCCTCCTGCTGCCTTTTTCTTGCCCTTTCTTTTTGATCGCTTCTCTTGCGAGCCTGAAGGCCTAGAAGGAAATCAGCCGGAGCTGATTTCCTCGGCCACCGCCTAGGGAAGGGAAACCAGCTCCAGGACCCCCGAGTTTGATCTGGGCTGGGCCGTGTGTGAGCTACCCACACACAGACTGAGACACCTTGGCCTGGTCGCTCACGGCTTCCCCACAGCTGCTGAGTCTGGGTGACTCTGGGAATGGGGCTACAGGCACAGCATGGAGGCAGCCCAGTGTGAAGTTGCTTGATGACCATCCCGGACACAGACTCGGGGACCCTGGTCTTCAGGAAACCCAGGAAGCTCCCTGCCAGGTAGAGTCACTCAGTGCCGATCCGGGGCAGGCTTTGGGGGTCAAAGGAGGTGGTCCCCAGCCAACAGGTGTGTGGACCTCTTGGGCACTGGGGATTAAATTAGATCCATTCCATAGACTGTGGGGTGTCCTGTGTACAAGGCGTTAGCAGCCAGTTTGGAATTCCGTTAAGGAAATCTGCAAGTCTTCCAGAAACAGAGAAATCAGCCTCCTAAGCCCACATTCCCAGATTAAGGACACTCACCACCTCACACTTCATCTGTGGGTTTTTCAGTTCCTTCTGCCTGAACAGTTGTAGTTCTGTGCCCACCTACCATCCCTTCTGCTCTCACTCCGTGCAGATGGAATAGATTTTGTGTCCGCATGCAATGACAGGTGTTGACTCATAGAAGGTAGGATCAAAAATGATGCCCTCCAAGAGACCACCCACTCCAGGAGCAATCATGGACCCCCTGCTGGATGTGGGGCAGCTAGTGTGCACGTCGGCTGTACTTTCCCAAATTCATGTAGGTGATACAGCAGCGCCACTGCGCTTAGACAACAGAATGAAGAGAGTACAGAGGAGGTATTTATTCACTTAAAAGAATAAAAGGTAAATGCAGGGCCCGCGTAAATCTCTCTGTCCTTTTCCATTTAGCGACAAGGAGGTTATTACAGGCCTCAGATACCAGGGACGTCATTTACCGCTAATCCCTCCTAGCCAGAGTCACCTGCGTCACTCCGGGCCCCACTGGGCCCAGGGCGGAGGCCCAGCACTGGTGAAAGGAAGTCCACAGCACCCTGGTCCCTCGCCCAATGAGCTCTAAGCAGACAGTACATTTTGCCCTTGACCTCCAAGGATCTATCCTCCCAAAGTACCCGTGGAGGAAACCAAACAGTGGGGGAGAGTAGGCGGTTAGTGTGTCTGCTGTTAAGTTGCTGGCAGGGTGAAGGTTCTGGGAAAGAGCCCCACTCTCTCTGAGTCTTTTTTTCTGCCTCCTTCCCACTCTGCCCTTGCTCCCTTGAGGGCTCCACCCCAAGGTAGCAAACCTGTTGAGGGAGTCCCAAGACGCAGAGGAATAAGAGGAAGGCCTGGTGCTGGAATTCCATGAAACTGATTTGGAATACAAGGCTTATAGCCCTTTGAACTTCAGCTAGTTTCTTTGCCTTTCTGTGACCCAGTTTCCTCATCTGAACGAAGAAAGCATAGCTCTTCCCTTGAGTGCCTGTGCTCAGGGTCAGAGATGTTGTCGATAAAACTGCAAACAAGCAGCGGGATCTCCATAAATATTCTGTGGAAAGAGAAGGGTAGGTGCTCCAAGGAGACTAAAACTGCTTCAGGCCGTGGGCCTCCTTCCTCAGAGGCCTCCCCCACCGCAACCCCTGGCCCCAGAGGCTGTGTGAGCAGCCAAGGGGACGGGAACTGGCTGATGGAAGGAGACCCAGTGCCACCTTGCAGACACACAGTGCGGCCTTCCCCAATCCCCTTCGAGGAACCCTCGCACAGCCAATCACAGAAGTTTCCCTGCCCCTGCAAAATGTGGGTCAGGGAGCCAGGAAGGCCGACCTGCCATATCCCCTTCCTCAAGATGGAGGCCGCTTCACGCCACACAGGGGCACAAGCAAGGCCCCGAGGTAACAGGGGTGTGCACACAACAGGCACCCCAGACACTCCACTGAGGACACAGCTAGGCTTCCACAGGGGCATTTGGAAAAGACAAGCCGTGGGCAGGAAGCAGGTGGAAAGAAAGCTGCAGCTCCAAGTTCACTGAGGTCTGAGTGGGACTGCCTTTTCGGTGGAGCCGGGATCCCTTCAGTCAAAAGAGGGGGGACAAGTCTCACCCCAAACTCCCAAACCTCACAATCCATGCTCTTATCTGCACACTCAGATGCACTTAGGTGATTCTCAAATGGACTCAGAGTCAATTCAGCAACGCTTCTGGACAGATCCGGGAATGGCCGTCCACCAGCCTTACCCACCCAGCAGATGTTAAGAACAATGCCTAGCGCTGGTCCCAGCGCACACAAAGCGTCCCTCTGACCTGCCAGTCTCAAAACCCCAGTCGGGCCTCCTCAACTCTGCGCTGCCACCTGGGCCTGAGTCTGCAGAGTTCAGAGGTGACCCCAGTGCACTCCCGCACCTTGAGACCTGTGACATCCTGGGCCTGACTCAGCACCCCTCTGTCTG